TATAGCTTGGTCAAAATGTGACATTGCCACCATGCTGGCCAGGGACTTGACCACATATTAGTTTGATCACATCATTAGAAACAAGTGTGCAGAATTATGAGTTGTTGTGTGTAAAAGATGACATAGCATGAAATGGAAATGCTCAAGTAAAGTACGCCAATATTGAACTTGAGTAAATATACTTACCTTAGAATCAGGAACTTTTTGATTGTTTGTGAAACAGGTGATTGGTGAGAAAAATATTACGCAACTGCAAAATCAAAGTCATTACAGTAACAGACTTCATCCACATCACGTGCAACCTTGTCCCTTGCCAAGCAAAGGAGGAAACCATTAGAAGGCTGGTGCAGCGTTATGTAACAACACTTCACACCTTTCTCACCACAGACAAATTCCACTGCCCGTAAGAGATTTTCTCTTGTAAATAACTTTCGGTAATTGTTTGTTTTTATTTATGAATCACTGGTTAGCGGAACACCTCAGTGAAAGCTGACATTGTCTCATAGACAGGATGTACTGCCGGTTGATGATCCTGCTGCTCATGCTCAAAAAATTCCAAAGATCATCCAGAAAAGTAAGAAGAGGTTCAGGGTTATACGACCCCAAGGTTGAATGAGGGTAGAGAACCTGTCCCTTACTTATAGCTTGATCGAGCTTGGTCGTTGTTGTGTGTAAAACATGACAACTGTGTCGTAGTTGTGTTTAATTTTTGCCGCATTGTGTGTGTCACAGTGCAAAATGTGTTTTAGTGAGTGAGAATGTGTTTAGAGTTTAGCAAAAAGAGTGGATGAGATTTGCAAACAGTGTCTTAGCTACCTGAGCCTTTTAAGGTTTTGCCAAAAGAGTGACTGATTTGACAAGTGGGTTTAGGCCACTGTGCATTGGGTTCAGAGAATGGGGTTTAGTGTTTTAGCAATTGTGAAAAACTGCATTTGAAACCATATGAGAAGGTGAACAGAGCCTCAGAGAAATGTGGGGTCACTAGACAAAAGAGAGCATCCTTGCATTGGCTGCCTGTTTCTTTTAGGATTGATTTTTAAATGATTTAATGCCCGGCATGGGCTGGCACCTTCCTATATCTCTGAGCTTTGATCCTCCTATGAGCCAGGACCTCTTCACTCTGAAACAATCTACCCCAGGACATCAGGCTCACAGTGTGTCCCCAGTTTAATCTCATTTCTTAAAACACATTTTAACAAAAACACGTTTACACTGTGATGCCTATTTAAATTATTTTGACTTGTGAATACTAGAAAAATGTTGTGCAACTGAAAAATCAAAGTCATTACAGTAAGAGACTTCATGCTTCAACCTTGTCCCTTGCCAAGCAAAGGAGGAAACCATTGGAAGGGCTGGTGCAGCGTTATGTAACAACACTTCACACCTTTCTCACCACAGGCAAATTCCATTGCCCGTAACCTGTAGGTTGACAGTAAACATTTATGAATCACTGGTTGCTGGTTTACGTTGAATTACCTGCCTAGCGGAACACTTCAGTGAAAGCTGACATTGTCCCGTAGACAGGATGTACTGCCGGCTGATGATCCTGCTGCTCATGCTCAAACACAAAATTCCAAAGATCATCCAGAAAAGTAATCAGAGGTTCAGGGTTATACGACCCCAAGGTTGAATGAGGGTAGAGAACCTGTCCCTTACTTATAGCTTGATCGAAGTTGTTGTGTGTAAAAGATGACAGCTGTGTTGTAGTTTTGTTTAACTTTTTTATTAACTAAAGTATTTTGACCTATTTTACTTTGAATCTTGTAAAGAACTTTCTTACCTGTATTGAAAAGTTCTATACAAATAAAGCTTTATTATTATTATAATAACAAAAAGGTTGAATTTGTAATGACACATTGTATTTTTTAAGCTTTATCATGTTTGTTTTTACAGTTTTTCTCAATTGTTTAAACACATTTTCTGAAAGAATGCCTCATATTCTCACAACTCTACACACAAATCAGAAAACAAACACACAATGGGCAAAACCCCTCAATTCTCCTGCAAAATGAAACTTTACATTCAAAACAATATTATTTCTTCTCAAAATGGTATTTTATTTTGAAATGACACACACAAATCATATGAATAGACATCTATAGGAACCAGTTGACCACTGATGTTCTCGATGTAAAAGACTATGATGAATGGAAAACACTTCTTCTCCCTTCATCACAATGACTTAGGCCTTTTTTTTGTTCAGTGTTACACTTCAAGAGTCCTTACATACATACGTGTGTTGTAAAATATTTGAGATATACTCAAAACACACAAATACAATGTACACAGTGTACATCCCAACCAACACCAAGTTGCACATATAGTGGTCTACATACAAAATAGAAGAAATTACTGTATATAGTTACTGTAAAAAAAAGGATAAACGATGCTGCATCCTCTCTTCTGTTGTGGTCTGGCCACAGCACCTCATCCACATCACCAGCAATGTTTTCCCTGGCCAAGCAGCGGGGGAAATATCGCCTAGCATGGTGATTCCAGCCATGAAAAGCATCAGCTGCTATATCTCCACATGCATCCTCCATAGCTTGGAGAAGAGGTATACGCATTCATGGATTTCGGTCATACACTTTACATCTCCAGGCAGAAAAAAAATTCCTCAATAGGATTGAGGAACGGAGAATATGGAGGGAGATAAACAACTAAAAAAGCGTGGGTGGGCAGTGAACCAGTTACGAACCAGAGCAGCCCAGTGGAAACTTATGTTGTCCCAAATGGCAACGTACCAGAGCTGCTCTGGGCCGTCTACCTGATCTGATCTGATCTGATCTGATGAGTGTGTTGTGTAGGGTGTCCAGGAATGTGATCAGATGGGCGGTGTTGTAGGGGCCAAGGGTAGCATGGTGATGGATGACGCCGTGGTGGGTAATCGCTGCACACAGTGTGATGTTCCCTCCACGCTGGCCAAGGACTTCAACAATGGCACGCTGGCCGATGACATTCCTTCCCCTCCTTCGTCTTTTTGTGACGTTGAACCCAACGTCATCAATGAATATGAACTGGTGCTCCACTGCAGCCACCTCTATCTCAAGGACTCTCTGAAACACACATGACAATATCAGAAATAGACATGGAGTGGTCACTATTGTGAAGTACAATCATTATGATTACAACATTGAAATATGTATAATTTACTGTATACAGTGTTGAGAGTATGCATCAATTGTGGGACTCACTTGCACATAGTTATGTCGCAATTCATACTTTACAGTATTTTTACAGTCCTACAGAACAGTACACAGGCAATACTGTACTACTGTACTCATTGAGTACTGTATTGATATGCAGTACTGCAATTTGCTAGTGAGAGTAGGTTTCTTACCTATTCTCATTTCGTAAAGTCCGGATAATGGATGCTACAGGGTACCTGCTCAGATTTGGCAGTACTCTTTGCCCAGACTCCCTCATTGTTAGACCATGGTTGACCACATGATCAACCAAAGTGGCTTGGATCTCATCAGAGATTACGGGCCTCGGCCTCGTCCTCGTCCTCGTCCTCGTCTGGCTCTGCCTCTGTTTCCAATGTTGGCATCCATTGCTCCATTGAAGAGTTCACCTGTTGCCTTTTTATGCTAATGTTCTGATTGCTAATTGGAAAACTGTGTCCTGGGTGTTTGCCCTTGTGATGAGTCAGTGTGCATATTTGAATGGCAGTGTGTTCCTTGTGAAAACAAAATATTTTCTGCATGAAACTTGTGCCAAAAGCAGAAAATTGTGTGTAGTGGTTTGAAAAAAGTGTGTTTTAGAACTGCAATTTGAGTGTAAAGCAGGAATTGTGCTTGTAGTTTAGCAGAATTGGTTCAGGGGGTTGGTGAATGAGTTACATGTTGTGGTCATTGTGTCTCAAGTACCAGTATTTATGTGTAAACAATTGAGAAAAACTGCACTGTAAAATCTTAATTTAAAAAAGTTACTAGTTGCTTCAGGTGTTGAATAAATCTAAGTGCAAAAAGGTAAAGTTTCCTTGTAAAATGTACATTTGGAGTAGAAGTATAACATAGCATGAAATGGAAATACTCAAGTAAAGTACGCCAATATTGAACTTGAGTAAATATACTTACCTTAGAAACGTGACATTTTTGATGTTTGTGAAACAGGTGATTGGTGAGAAAAATATTATGCAACTGCAAAATCAAAGTCATTACAGTAAGAGACTTCATCCCCATCACATGCAACCTTGTCCCTTCCCAAGCAAAGGAGGAAACCATTGGAAGGGCTGGTGCAGCGTTATGTAACAACACTCCATACCTTTCTCACCACAGGCAAATTCCACTGCCCGTAAGAGATTGTTTCGGTAAACATTGATGAATCACTGGTTAGCGGAACACCTCAGCGAAAGCTGACATTGTCCCATAGACAGGATGTACTGCTGGTTGATGATCCTGCTGCTCATGCTCAAACACAAAATTCCAACAAGCACCCAGAAAAGTAAGAAGAGGTTCAGGGTTATACGACCCCAAGGTTGAATGAGGGTGGAGAACCTGTCCCTTACTTATAGCTTGATCGAGCTTGGTCGTTGTTGTGTGTAAAAGATGACAGCTGTGTCGTAGTTGTGTTTAACTTTTGCCGCATGTATTTACCATTTGGAAACACAAAACACATTTTAACAAAAACACTTTTACACTGTGATGCCTATTTAAATTATTTTGATTTGTTTTACTTTGAATCTTGTAAAGAACTTTCTTACCTGTATTGTTCTACACAAATAAAGCTTTATTATTATTATGACAAAAAGGTTGAATTTGTAACTTTTGAAGCTTTATCATGTTTTTAATGTAAAATCTTTCTTATTATTAATCTTATTTAAAAAAGTTACTAGTTGCTATAAATGTAAGTACAAAAAGTACAAGTAAAGTACGCCAATATTGCACTTGAGTAAATATACTTGCCTTAGAAAGGGGACATTTTTGATGTTTGTGAAACTGGTGATAGGTGAGGTGTTGGGCGTGTCATTGGACATGTATGTGGGTGTTGGAAGTAGACAGAAGAGGAGGGAAGAAAAGAGAGGGAGAGGAGAAAAAGGGTATTTATGCTGATGCAGATCTGATGATCTGTACTTACAGTTATGGCTTTCTACAAAGTGATCTGTGCTGCGATGCTGCTGACTCTCCTGACACAAGGTAAGGACACTCCTCATTGTACACACCTGAACCAATCATGTTTGAGATCTGATGACTGCTGTATGAGGAGGAAGTAGAATATTTTAATTAAGTAAGAGTAGTTGTTAAGAGGAAAAAGTATCACATGTAAGTTGAAATCCAGCATTCAAATTGAACGTTTTACAAATTGTAGCAATAAAAAATACAAAACCAAATTGTCACGCTGAATCAATGTTTAAAGAGATAAATCTGAGTGAGGAGCAACTATTTTCTGATGAATGAATTGGGATAGAAAAACTTTTGCACTGAACCCATGACTTAATTTAGCCTGATTTAAAACGTTGCCTGGATTCATTAAAAATAAATAAAACGTACATTCACAACATTTCCAATGACTGCTTCACTGCAATTGTGGTCCATGTGACAATAAAGACATGTACTCATAGCAGGTAATTATTGTGTTTGCGTTCAGGAAACAGTTGTGGGAAATCATTTTTGTCAGTCCTTTCCTGTTTGCATTGACCTGCTGAGACCTTTTTGTTTTTTGCATACCTTTGGGGTTTTCCTTATAAAGTTGTCATTCAAGTTTCAACATCCAGGAATCAGCACAACCTCAGTTAATTATATTATCTTCATAACCTCCCTGTTGAGTCTTCTGAACTTAAAGTGCAGCCTATTTGATCTCTTAACGTGTTTGTATTTATTGCAAGACTGTGTGTAATGTGATTCGGATTTTTTATGAAACTATACCTACCACAACTGCAGTTTGTTCTTCTGATCGACAAGCCAGTTTTAATTTTTTACTAGTTTTAAGTTGATCTAGATTTTGAGATACTGATATATTTCCCGAAGTGGTAAGCCCTGTCTTCATGTAAAAAGACCTATTGAAGTCTGTTTAATAACTCATAATTAGATTTAGTTTTATTGTGTGATGTGACTATTAAAGACACCAAACAACTTCAACCATAAAACTGAGAAATTAGGTGTATGAGATTAAAGGCAGCTTTTTGTGTGTGTGTGTGTGTGTGTGTGTGTGTGTGTGCGTTTGTGTGTGTGTTTTCCTTTTGTTAGAAAGTATCTGTTGTTTAAAGTTAACCTTAACTACTTTTAAGGAGGTTTTGGCATTAATTAAGTTACTTAAAGGAACGTGCGGTTTGTAGAAACTAAGTTGATGTGACAAAAACACAATTCAAGAATTCAAGTCCATTAATTCTGCAATTTAAAGCCACCAAGAAATGACATTACCATGAATGTGAAATGTGAGAAGTCACTTGGGTATGGGTATTGTTGTGTATATTGATCCTTAATTTAAGCTATTTAAAGAGACCTCTTCATATCTATTCAGAGATAAGTGGATATATTAGACAGATAGATCAGAGGAGCAGATAATTTTCAAGTCAACTTGGAGCTAGACCTTATAATGTCCCTTGCAAGACCTTAACTGATGTGAAAAAATCTGTTCTCTGATCAGTGAGCACAGTGACTCATTCCATCATGTCACAGAAAATCCTTTCATTATTTAATGTAGTGGATGAAGGACTCAACCAGGTTTTTATTTGAAATAAAGTATGCAATTCTCTGACATACGTTAACATTTACAAATATAATTTAAACCAAACTCAAAGATAAGATAAAATATACTTAACTGTCTCCATAGGGAAATTAGTTTTGGACTGCAGCTTTGCAAAATCAACACAAAAACTGCAATAAAATAGACATTTCAAAACACACACTCATGCAACACAACATGCTCTCATACATAAGACAGGTACCTATATAAATATGCACAATAATTCCTTCTCACAATGGCAAAAATGTTTTTTAATTGCACAATTCATGCAGCCTGCATTCCCCACAATAAATGTTGCGTGGCCCAAATAGCCTGCAATGTACAATGAGAGATATTGCACAACCCAGGGACGTCAATAGGATTGAAAGACAAAGGAGGCTTAGCCGCCAGGGTATGCATAACTTGACTTATGTCAATAACCAGCGAAGAAGCCAAGATTTTAACATGAAAAAAGCGAAATTTAAATTCTCTTCATCCATTTCTCCTTGAACAAAAGTTACTGTAATGTTATCTTTTAAACATGTCAAAGCTGCGTGGGGGGGAATTCACAGACTGAGTTCTTCTGTAGGCTTTGACTTAAAGGCTATCCAGCTGCTCATGTAAATGTGTGATAAAGTAATACCAAAACTAATTCCTCTCGCTATTAGATAAGTTTCAGGTTCAAAGAATGCTATTTAATTACATCAATTACTGCACTGTAGATTTGTTCAATCAGAGTGTGATTTTTTTCCGTAGTTTGGCTTGCATACAAGCATTCAACAAATACTTTTCATGTAAACTGTTGATAAGGATCACAGCACAGTTGACACATTTCACAACCCAAAAATTCCCTCCAATAGTCTTGGAACAGAAGGCAAATTCCTTTGTTTTTGTTGTTCACTGAAGACATTTGGGTTTAAGAGCAAAAGATGAGTCTGAGACAAGAGTTAAGAATTTCAGCTTTCATTCCAATACTTTTGGAGGGGACTGTATTGCACAACCCTTATGGGCAACATCTAGATTACATGCTAGTGTTGATTATACATAGATTAGATTAGATTCTTAATTGTCCTTTCCAGGATATTTGTTTCCACCATCTATACGTATGCATAATACACAACAAGAACATACAGAACAACATGCTCAACATTTTATACACAAATTGACTCCGAAAAAGAAAAAAAAGTGACAAAGTGCAGTTATTTGACGCTAAAGGTACCCTTCAGCATCTGTATGAGATGCTCTGGGGCGTCTCATTGGTATGGGGTCAGATCAGACACTATTTATTGCACCTATCTGATAACCAACTGCTCATAGATTGTCTGGACAACATAAACTCCACGTAAGGATAAAAACAACAATACAGGTTTATGTGATGAAGCCTATCAGACCAAACAAGATTCAGATGATGCCGGGTAAAAAACAGCCACATCGCGTTAGCTCGCCTACTTCAACGAGCAGCTGCTAATGTTACGGTGCAAAGTTGTATTGCTTTCCACAGTACTTCACCAGCAAACGCGACCCATAATACCATACTGTGTACCACCGGTATTATGTAAAAGTTTTGATTTAGACTGCAATATGTGATGTAACTGTACAAAGCAAATGGAGTTATTTGTTTTATAGCCAGTGATGCAAGGCAGGGCAGCCAGCTAACGCTAATTAGCTCGTACCTGCCGCTGTTTGCTTTGTAACGTTCAATGTAGATTTATTGGTATTCAGGTAATGTTACACAGCTTCTCCTCCATCTTAGTCACTGTAACAAACGTGACTCACATAGTGTACAACAAATGTCAATGTACATGTACAACATATCAGTAAATATAAATACAAAGTAGTTGTTTCAAGAATGTTTTTTGTTTGTTTTCTATTTTCAGAGTGTCACTCACAACTAGATGGTAAGTCAAAGTTTCAATGCTCACTTTTTTACTTCCTGTCCGTCTGTGATTTTGGAAATTTAAAACGTGTTTTCTATATCACTCACTCTGTGTCTTTGTCTCTCTCTTCAGTGTGCGGTCAGCCTACGCTCAACACCAGGATTGTTGGAGGACAGGTGGCCTCTGAAGGCAGCTGGCCCTGGCAGGCCAGTCTGCAAACCTCTACAGGGTTCCACTTCTGTGGAGGATCACTCATTAACAATGAATGGGTGATGACTGCTGCTCACTGCTGTGCAATGTAAGCAGTGAGATAGGGCGGAGACAAAAAACAACATGCCATGCAGTGGCATAAACAGCCTGTCTAAGGCAGTGGTTCCCAACCCAGGGTCACGTCCCGTACAAGTAGCTTTAGAGATACCCAGAAATTTTTTTGAGTGGCCCAATAGCCCCTCTGGTATAACAAGAAGCACAGACATATCCTGGTTAAGGAATCACTTATTGCCATTTTATAACAAATGTAAAAACATGTGAAAACACTATGACTCCAAAACTCAATGTAGCTTTAAACCAAAAACATTTTTTTCCCTGAACCTAATCTCTATAAATAGATATCAATGCAGCGGCAAGCGACAAGATTTTGGTAACAGAAGTGTACGTTGCTTCTGGTTGTCTGTTTAGTTTGTTTAGCCTGATTAGTGTTGACCAATCATGTTTGAGTTAGCTTTGGTTGCACATGCAAAAAAATAACAATAAGTGCAGTGCGTGTGAGAGCAAAAGAAGCGGAATGCAATGGCTGAATGCAATCTCTTAACGATTTAGCTTTTATTAGCTTTGTAAACTGGCTACTTGTGAAACAATCCAGGCTTAGACGTCGTCTCTCACCTCTATTCTCGCATCTGAAGTTGATATTCGGACTGTAAAAATTTTTTTTGACATGTACTTTGGAAGAAAAGATTGTTGGAGGTCTCTGCAGACTGAGGGAGAAATTATTATTTTGAGGAAACTGTTATGGCAGAAAATTGTGTCCTCTTACATTTAATCTTTTATGTATGATCTTCTAATTATTATTATTACTGTTCTTGTTTTGTCTTGTGTATTTTTTTCTTTAACCTTTCCTCTCCTATACTCTTTATGTTTGTCTGTCCACATATATTAGGGTTTAGGTCAGACCTGTGAGATTGTTTTGGTGTTTTCCCCTCTTGTTGTTCCTCTCCTGGAATGTTCATTTAAGGCCAAGAGAGGATCTCTGCTCCTCAAAACATAGAAACCTAGACTGTGTAAATGATGATTCATGGCTTTGCTCGGGGCCAGACGCCTGAAGCTGCCCTAGGCAGCAGGTCTCTGGACCAGCTCTATATGTGTTGAAGCACTGTTTATTCTCTTTGTTAAATTAAATTCTTCAAAGACAACGGCTGGTTATAACTCAATTCTTTGCGCAACCCCTCACCAGGAATATAATTTCCATGACAGAAACAACTTTATGTAATGAGGACATGAGATCATGAAAAAGTATGCTGAGCACATAAATTACTTACTTGTGCCACGTCTGTCAGGATTCATTCAAACTAGACTAGATGCGGTCTTAAAATTCATGTCTTTGTACTGTTTCTCTTCTGATTACAGCACAGGCATAACCACGAGCACTCTGACTCTTGTTCTGGGTCTCCAGAGTCTACAGGGATCAAACCCCAATAATGTGTCTCAGTCAGTATCACAGATCATCATTCATCCCAACTATAATGCCAGAATTCTGGAAAACGACATCTGCCTCCTGAAGCTCTCCTCACCAGTGACTTTCACCACCTACATCCAGCCCATCTGCCTGGCAGCCCAAGGCAGCACCTTCTACAGCGGCACTGAAGCCTGGGTCACTGGCTGGGGCACCATTGCAACTGGAGGTGGGTCAGAAAGCTCCTGGAGTACATTTATTTTCGCATAATGTGTGATTGCAATGGTGACTTAAATGAACAAAAATGAACTTGTGTATGTAATGTGTATTATTCATCATAAAACATTAGCAAAGCAAATTTTGTAATATAAATTATGCATTGTTCGCGTCCATATTAAGTTGCGTGCATTATTCTTCTTCTTTGTTGCCTTTGTTGGTGCATTTCTACACTAGTTTGTGTTACCTGCTAGTGGTAGACATGTTTTTTGGGAGGGGTTTACTAGATATTACAGTGATCAGCTATAACATTATGACCACTGACAGTGAAGGTGAATAACTGATTATCTCATTAACATGGCACCTGTCTGTGGGTGGGATATATTAGGCAGGTTTGATTCATAGAGGATGTATTAAACAGTCCATTTTGTGTAAAATAATTTTAAACCACATTTCACAAGGTGTGTTTTTTACTAAACTGAATTTGTCTCTCTTCAGTGTCCCTTCCTTACCCAGGAAACCTAATGGAGGTGGAAGTACCGATTGTGGGGAACAGACAGTGTAACTGTAACTACGGAGTGGGCTTGATCACAAACAACATGATCTGCGCCGGGTTAAGTGCTGGAGGGAAGGACTCCTGTCAGGTGATTAGTTTTACATCCTTGTTTGTGTCAGATTTGATCTTTTGCAAAGATTCCTTCTCTTAAATGTTCTGTCTCAAAAGGGGGATTCAGGAGGTCCGCTGCTGAGCAAGCAGGGTGGTCGCTGGATCCAGGAGGGAATCGTGAGTTTTGGAAGAGGCTGTGCACTGCCTAATTTTCCAGGAGTCTACACAAGAGTGTCCCAGTATCAGTCCTGGATCAACAGCCAGATCACCAGCAACCAGCCAGGCTTCATCACCTTCACGTCCACTGGGACTGACGGTGACCTCAGTGTCACCTGTTCTGGCCTGCCACTAACTACAACTACCATCACTCCAACAACCCTTACTTCAACCACCATCACTCCAACCACCATCACTCCAACCACCACCACTCCAACCACCCTCTCTCCAACCACCACTACTACAACCACCCTCACTCCAACAACACTTACTTCAACCACCCTCTCTCCAACCACCACTACTACAACCACCCTCAATCCAACAACCCTTACTTCAACCATCACCGCCACAACCACCCTCAATCCAACCGCCACTACTACAAACACCCTCAATCCAACAACCCTTACTTCAACCACCAGCACAACTACCTTTACTCCAACCACTTTCACTCTAACATCCCGCACTCTGACCACCCGCACTTCAACTACCCGCACTCCAACCACCCGCACTTCAACCGCCCGCACTCCAACCAACCGCACTCCAACCAACCGCACTCCAACCACCCGCACTCCAACCACCCGCACTCCAACCATCCGCACTTCAACCACCCGCACTCTGAACAAACGCATTCCAACCACCCGCACTCCAACCGCTGGCACTTCAACCACCCGCACTCCAACCGCTGGCACTTCAACCACCCGCACTCCAACCGCTGGCACTTCAACCATCCGCACTTCAACCACCCGCACTTCAACCACCCGCACTCCAACCACCCGCACTTCAACCATCCGCACTTCAACCACCCGCACTCCAACCACCCGCACTTCAACCATCCGCACTTCAACCACCCGCACTTCAACCACCCGCACTCTGAACAAACGCATTCCAACCACCCGCACTCCAACCGCTGGCACTTCAACCACCCGCACTCCAACCGCTGGCACTTCAACCATCCGCACTTCAACCACCCGCACTTCAACCACCCGCACTCTGAACAAACGCATTCCAACCACCCGCACTCCAACTGCTGGCACTTCAACCACCCGCACTCCAACCACCCGCACTCTGAACAAACGCATTCCAACCACCCGCACTCCAACCGCTGGCACTTCAACCACCCGGACTCCAACCGCTGGCACTTCAACCACCCGCACTCCAACCACCCACACTTCAACCACCCGCACTCCAACCACCCGCACTTCAACCATCCGCACTTCAACCACCCGCACTCTGAACAAACGCATTCCTACCACCCGCACTCTGAACAAAAGCACTTCAACCACCCGCACTCTGAACAAACGCACTTCAACCACCCGCACTCCAACCACCAGCACTCTGACCACCCGCACTTCAACCACCCACACTCCCAATAAACGCATTCCAGCCACCCGCACTTCAACCACCCACACTCCCAACAAACGCATTCCAGCCACCCGCACTTCAACCACCCGCATTTCAACCATCATCACTCCAACCACCCGCACTTCGACTACCATCCCTCCAACATCCCGCACTTTGACCACCACCTCTTCAACATCTATGTTAGTGCCTGCCATGTTGATTTTTAACACCACATTCCCCCTTGTAAATCTTTAAAATTATATATAGTATTGTTTATTCAAAACACAATTTTGGACCAGTTATTTGCATTATTTAGAAATGTGGCACATTGTTTGGTTATTTAGGCACTAACATTTGCTAATACTCTCAATGGACAGAAGTCAGCTCATTAATACCCTGCAATGCAGCCTGGGGTTGAGTAGTTTGCACACTAACACAGTAACTTGCAAACCAGGCTGAGCTGCTCACCTATAAATTGAAGGTACTGAGTGGTGAAATTAATCACCAGCAACTTCTTGGGCCAGGAGCAGAAGCTCCCCAAATGTCAGCCGACCTAGCTCTGCAGGATGTGGTCGCTCCATCCTTGGACATATAGCCATCCTGTTTCTATGCACAGCTCAGTTGCAAGCTGAGAAACAGGAGGAATGCTACACTTAACTGCAACATAGCTATCAAGCTGTGCAACAGCACAATGACAGCTTGCACCAGGACTGCCTGTCCACTCAAGCTGAGCTCCCCAGAGCATCTTGGCCAGATGTTATTATCCATTCAATTTACCAAACAAACATGAGAGAGGTATGGAACTTCTCATGAAACTCACGCATTTCATAAAACAACTATTCCTTTCAAGCATGAGCAAGTACTGTCCATATCACATTTCTAGCAAAAAAAAAACATTATTTTCTGTGGGTTCACAAAAAGTTGGGCTTGAGCATATCTGTCTTGCTTGTTTGTTCAGGATGATTCTGGCGGTTCAATAACGAGCAGGGCGGCTCTTGGTTCCAGACAGCAGTGTTATCATTTGGAAGCAATCCACCAACATCACAACACCACAAGCACAACATCCAACAATACAACCACCACCAGTGGGGGCGCTCCTGCTCACTCTATCTTCTTCTTCCATCTCCTCATCTTCTCTGTGTAAGAGATTCTGGATGCTAAGTGCTTTCTCTCTAAAATGGAGAGTGTAAAATTAAGCTACAGGGACCATAAGGATATCTGCATCTGTTTTATAATGATTTTAATTTAATACAATTAAAAATATGTAAGATCTAATCTATATTTTTTTACGAACTGAAGATTATTTTGACAAATGAGTATTAAATGTGATCCTCAATTGCCACTCATTTTATTAGTTACAAAATTGATACAGACACAAGGCAAAATGATGATTTGTTTACACAAAAGCAATAACTGAAAACAGGATGGTATTTATTGATTACATTGCAGATAGGATTAAACTAATTTGATAGAATTTCCTACTGTCATTACCAAATTGATTGAAAAAAAACTTAAAGCAGCATATTTTAGAGGTCGGAGGAACAGTAACAATGGTAAGCCTCTCCATCATCTACCTCATGATATCAGAGCTACTGTACCATTATGTACATTTCTATCAGAATTTAACTTTGTTGTAAAAATACTTAAGCTGATGATTATTATTTTTTCATAATAACCTGCTTTTAAATAAAGTAAAATCCTTTCTGTCTGCTTGTTCCTTCATGCTATGAGCATATGTGAGTAGTAGGTAAAGGTTAGCGTTGCACGCTCCCGCTTCCTCTTGTGTTGGAATGACAGCGTTGTTAAGTGAATGGACTGTTTGTTCAACCTTTGGCGTACGCCATTTTTGGCTTTTGGATGCACGTACACTTGTAGTGAGGTTTCTGGACACAGTTAAATAAATGAGACCCCTGTTCTGCATCCCCCACAGGTCTTTACCGCCCCCTACTGCCATACAGTGTGTTGATCCGCTGTTGGCTTCCAGTGGAATTTGAGGACCTTATAGCCTATCAGCTTAAAGGCAGAGATTCCCTTGATGCATAGCGGTGACGGGAGTTTTGTTAAAATTTACTAAAATTTATATATATAATTTATATATACTATTTGCTTGAAATGCAAAAGATACTTTGTAATAATATGTTTGTTTTTTTTTCATGTTTCTGCTTAGAATATAATGTTTTTTGTCTATAATTGTCATTCCTATGACAGTTTACTATTGAAACCAGGAGTGAAGGGACTGTTTTATTTGATAGCATTGTGACTGGACATGCTGCTGCAGCATACAACTCCCGTGATTAGTTGTTCAGTTGGTTGGTTAACATGTTATCGTCACAACGTTAGTGCTCATGTAATAGGGTTAAACTCTCTGAAACAAAAATGATCCAATTGGGATTTGAGGCAGAGTTTTTCCTGATCTGAGAACTTTACCATACGGTTTTTGAAATGGCTGTTAAAGAGACTGATGGTTTTGATTTTGAAAATGCAGAAAAGTTCATTTCGAAACAGTTTGAAAATGTTGTATATATTTATTCGTGTTGGCAACCATTGTATGACCAGTTATTGAATATTAGTATTTTGTATTATTATATATTTTGTTGAGGGTTTGCCATTGTCTTTATGTGATGATACATTGCTGCCTGTGGATAAACAACTTGTTGATTAGTGATGATTTAATGAATGATGCTAGCAATAACATTTAGGTTCAAAATGTGTTTACAAAATATGTGCATCAGTTGTTTATATCTAGTTCAGACATTGTTTTTTCAAGGCAAAGTTAGCAGTAATATTAATTTGAATACCAATTATCTTGTTTTGTTTAAAATTCCCAGAGATAAATACCAAGTCATGCTTATGGCTAGACAAATGTTTCCTGGGAAGAGTCATTTTTTTATGGATTGTTTCGACAATGCCACAAGTGTTCCTTACGGTTATTTAATGATTGATTTTAAAGCTAAGACACCTGATGATTTCAGACTCAGAACTGACTTGCTTTCAGACCTGCCTGTTGTGTATGTGCCTAAGATAAAGTAAATAAACATGTCTGATCGCATTAAAGGTAACCTGTCTTTCTTGCAAACTTTGCACGGAGCATCTCCATCTCAGAGAGTGAATATTATTAAATCTGCATCACCAAAGCTTTTGGTATCATTATGCGAAATAGCTTACAATGTTTTAAAAGATAAAAAATTTCTTTAAATAAGACAGTATAAAAAATTTAAAAAGAAGAAGGCGGGGATTAGACTGCTCGCCAATAAAAAGGTTTGTGCTTCAAAGAAAAAGAAGACACTGCTTAAACAGTCTGGCGGTTTTCTTCTCCCCCTCCTAAGTATCGCTGTGCCTTTTATAACAAGTCTTGGTGCAAGACAAACTTAAGATGACTATGGAGCATGCACATGTTTCTGGTACCTAAACAACAGCTTGATCTTTTAAGAAGACCTCCGGCACACAAGTCTATTCGAGAAACTGTTGAAAATGATTTGGATCGTACTATTAAAGACATTCTAGATCAAAGGACTGAAGATCTTCATGAAAAAGCAAAAAAATATTCCATCGTATTGCAGAGATTTCTCACCATGATAAAACAAGGAGAAAAAGACCAGAACACACTAACTTTGTCTATGCTGGTCGCTGAGGATTTTCACTCTTTAGTGCGGAAGAATCAAGAAGGAAGATCCTTTGCTTTTGAAGAAATTTTAAAAAACGTGCCAAAAAACAGCAGGAATAAAGTTCTGCATATTTTAGATAAAATGTCCTCCTCAAAAATTTGATAAGAGGAGTGACTGCTTCTCACAATGTGTCTGACAGCCAGAGACCTACAGGTTGGGATGAATATCTGCAATCGTTGGCTATATTGAATATACCTTTTATCAGTTGTGCCAAATCAACAGGTCAAAAGAAAAATTGACGAGTTTAAGGGAAAGACTTCTGGAGAATCTTCTCCTCTCATTACTGGACCACCATCTACCCCTCTTGTTACCAGAGGGCATTGATTAGCAAACAATGAAACAAGTCCATTTGTATGTCCTGAAATGCAATTGAGTGATTGGATAACTTTTTAATTGTATATTGTTATTGTTTTTAAATAAATACATACAGACATAACTTTATCATTTCAAAGTGTTTTTATTTATATCACTAGAATAACAAAAAACGTTGTTGTACACGTTTCAATCTATTAATCATTTTGATAATGAATGACACACAGCTTCTAATATTATTATCCACATTTAAAAGAATCTGATACTTGGACACACTGGTTACATTCTGCATAATTATTTTGACCACATGCAACTGAGGGTTGTGTTTTTTTCACAAATTTGCACACCATAAAATCATTGCATGACAGTTTAATATATTTAGTTATTACATTGTCATAAGATAATCCTCTATCCATATGGTAAAGGAAAAACACACAATGCTGACCGCACACTACAGAATCCACATCTTGCACTTGTCTAACAGAATGTTGCTTGGACTTAATTACTGTTGAGAAAGACAGAAAAGGATTCAGGAAAATGTGAGTATACCAGAGAGTTCCCATAACTGTCAAAGAAGGATCCCACACCCTGCTTGTCAATATAGATAGCGACCCAGTGTTGTCCTCCCAGGTGGGAGTGTTTGGCAGGTCTCTCTTTAATAATGGAATTAGGAAGTTGGTCACTAGCAAATACTCCAAGAAAGATGCCTTGCTTTACTACCTTATCAGTACTCGTATTCATACTATCGTTTGTTAAAGTTAGAAAAAGTCAATGAGAACCTGTCTTCTTGATGATATCTCAATTATAGAATCATATGTAGCGCAAATGACCGCATTTATTGTACATTGAAGCGGATTTCTGAAACGAGCCTCTAATCTAACACTACCGTTTTTAATGAGCGACATGTGGTCTCCGCATCCTTCATCAGAGCTCAGGTTAAAACAGAACAGAACATATCCATTACAAAATTTGTTGCGGGTTATGGCCATAGCGTTGTTTTTAAAATTCTTTCCAGTTGCCGAGTACAATTGGTGATACTCCCTGATGGCATTCCCTCTGGTAAAGTTGGGCTGAAAGGGTTTTGAAGGATATTGTTGGCCGTCAACTTATAAACATATAAACTCTATATCATAATGGTTAAATGTAAATGGATTACGCGCAACTACCTGTAAATACCTCATGATGTACAAATCCTACTACAATAAATTTAGGTATTTGTCCCAAGAATATATTTTCTTGATAACAAACACGAGTGCCCGTTGGGATGCTAAAATTTTTAAGACAGACTCTGTCTATGGGATATTTAACATTGCCATGCATTAATGGCTTAGCATGCGCTAGCTTAACTGCTGGAGAAACGGTGACTTTCTATACAAACTGTAGTATACAAGTATACACTTTTTAGAAAATCAGTACAAGCACCTATGTTTTTACAAACCAAAGAATCAGTTAAGCAATACATTACATCAGCAACATCGACATGTTGTTCTCTGGGTAGCATTAAAACACACAGATCAATGCTAAAAGTAGACAAACAAAACACATGACCCATATGAAAACATTTGCTATATCGAGTAGAGTAGATTTCACATCTGCATATTTATCCGCTGTCATTTGCACCATGGTACGCCATCCCGAGATCATTCGTCTGACACATTCTGTCTGTTTTTCAAATCTAGAACAACATAGTATCCTATCTGTCACATATCGCATCGTTAACAGATTCACATAACAGTGCTCTCTATCTTATACACGATGTATCTCTTTTTGATATAGTTTAGTAGATTGGACACATTTCCCATTGTTTTTAGTGTTTTTTTCCCCTTCCAGATGTTCAGAGATTCCTTAACTACTGTGCTCACACTGCACTTTACTCTAACTACCCGTTTAAGTGATGCAATGAGAAAAGGGTTCCTCAACCAAATCTGTAGAGCACCTGCAGCAAAAGCAAGAACCTGCAAGCAAATAATGGGAAACTTACCTGAAGAGAGGTCAAGTCCTGCTGCACGATTCGAGTTCACGTCCGTTGACCTGTTTGGACCTTACCATGTGAAGGATGATGTCAAGAAGAGAGTAACCATGAAAGTATGGGGCGTCGTATTTTGCTGTATGTCCAGCCGAGCCATCCATGTCAAGCTAGCAAACACACTATCAACAGGGAGCTTTCTGCTTACCTACCAGAGGTTCACCGCTGATGTACACTTACCTGAATCAACAGGACAAAGAGTCGCTTGAAGAGTATGCTGCCAGAAATGAGACCACCTGGATGTGGAAAATCCTCCTGGCCGATTCACCTCACCGAAACAGGGCCGCCAAAGCTGCTGTCAGAGTCACCAAGAGAGCCCTCCAAAGTCTTGGCAATGTAGAAGGCCTTACCTTCAGTGAGTTCCTGACAGTGCTCCAGCTAGTTGCCAATCTTGCCAATGAGAGACCCATCGATGCCAGAGTTCAGAGCCGTGAATCCTGATTCCAGAGGTGTTGTTCGAGATGTTCATGTGAGGGTCTCTCCAAGTTCCAGCATTTCGTTGAGAAGTCCAAAACCTGGTGCTAGAGATCCCGAATCAAGTACCATACTGCATCGGGGCATCCGGCGCCTTGTGGTTCTCGTACCGGTGGAAGATCAAGTCAGAGATCAGCCCACCTGAGAGTGCGATCTTTCCGGGCATCGCCACGTAAAGATCGAGTGGGAGGTGTCGCGCTGAACCGGCGGAGGTGTGGTTGTCTCCCGTGTACCCATCTCAGTTTCTCCTCCTGCATGCCGTCTCCCCTACGCGCCGCCCCGCACGTGACCGCAGATGGCCCCTGCACGCTCTCTTCATGGCAGCCCGCACGTGACTGTGTGTGCCCTGGCACACGCTCGACCAGGTGAATTGAATTGGGGCAATCAGAAGCTCGTGCCCAGTTCAATCAGATTACAAATACGCACATCAGTCATTTGACTGGTGTGCGATGGACTGAGTGGACAGCAGAAGCACGAAAGCATCCACTGTGACGAACAGGGACTTTTGATCGTGACGGGCTATCGGTAAGCTCGCTTGGACTCTTGTTTCACATGGACTCTCGTCCGTTTGGGTGTAGAAATGTATTTAATGTGCTAAATGTGTTAATGTTGTGGGTAAAGTTTAAAAGTAATTGTCACTGCATGGCTTAAAGAGATACTAAACTGATAAGACCAAATGCTTAAATGTATATGGTTGAAAGTGTGGGTTTCCTACCAAATTTGTGTAAATTACTACTTAAATAGTAACCCAAAATCCTTTGTTAAAGCTTAATTAAAATTGATAAAATGCATAAATAGTTTTAGTTAAATGTAAAGAATATTCCTTAGTTAAAACCTCTAAAAGTAAAAGTCTGGTCCTTTTCAAGTGTGGACACCTCACAGTTAGAAAGACACTTGACATATATATATACACAACTGACTGCTAAAACCACTTCCAAATCTCAACATCCGCTTTAAGAGGTTAACACTGGACAACCCCCCGCCCCCCATAGACAAACCCCCCTTTTCACACATGTCTTCACCTGTTGATGATCAACTTGTACTTGATCCAGGACTTAACTGGCTCTTCGGGATGGAAGTGATGTGCAGTCCAGGTTTTGTGTGGGTGAGCATCCGAGCCGCAGAGTTATGAACATACTGGAGCCTGTCAGTAGCCTTGCTGGGCAGACTCAACAGGATACCTTTACAGTAGTCAAGTCAGGAGGTGATGAAGGAGTGAATGAGGGTCTCAGCTACAAAGTTGGAGAGACACTGTTGAGTCTGGAGATGTTCTTAAGATGGTGAAAGGCAGTGTTAGTAGTGATTTTGATGTGCTGTTGGAAGGAGAGGGTGGAGTCCATGATGACGCCCAGGTTGCGTACTTGAGGGGATGCAGAGATTGAGTAGCCATCCACGTCCAGTGTGATGTCAAACCTTTTTAAGAAGTGACTACGGGGCAAACACCATGAGTTCTGTTTTGTTTTTGTTCAGTTTGAGGACGTAACTGTCCATCTAGTTCTTTATGTCCCGCAGGCAATTGATAAGTGGCACTGGTGGAAAAGGATTAGGAGATTTTGTGCTGATG